ATACATTCTGACAGTAAGAAAACACAGCAGCTCTGACTTCAGTCTTAAAACCAACACTTTGTTTACTGTGAAGTCATGATCATTTATACTGGAATAATCTGTGCACTGTAGAGTTAAATTAAACTAAAAAACTGTTAAAATGAAAAACTCCATTGGCTAACTATGGAGTGCTAACTAGAAACAACCAATCAGAGCCAGGAGGAGTGTGTTAGCGCTGTCAATCAACATCTCATCTTGTGCCACTCACACAGGGAGGAGGTGGAGGAGATTACTCTTTTCACAGATTGTCTGTCTCGTAACAAACGGTCCTGAAATGGTGACAGTTTTAACAAATATGTAAAAAACATTCCCTATATACTGCAGCTTTAAGGAGGGAAATGTGGTGCTTCAAAGCTGTAGCAGTAGACTACTGGATAATAAATCGTCCCAGAAATTATTACGATAAACAATAATATTGTCATTTTGAGACCATTTTCAACTGACATAATAATAATAATAATAATAATAATAATAATAATAATAAAAGTTCCATATTAATGCAAGTATATACACTCAAAGATTTAAAAAATATAATTAAACTTCTGAAAAATGTTTAACAATGCAACAGAAAAACATTTGAAATAAAAAATGACAATAATTAAAATGGATTATTAAGACTCTGAAACTAAAATTGGATTTAAAAAAAAATGTTAATTGTTCAGCTTAGACAAGAAAAACAGGCAAAAGTGTCAGGACTGTTAAAGAAAAAAAAAGGAAAAAACCACAAAGTACTTTGTAGTGGGTGTCAAATATTTGCAGGGTTTTTCAAAATGCCAGCTTTTCAGCGACATTGAAAGGGATCATATATAACTATTGTTGTGCAACTAGAATTTATCAAGCTCATTTTAATTTTTTGTGATTAATTGACTTATTGCTTATTGTGAAATGTCTACAGGGCAGTCAAGGTTCTCTCCACCTTGACTGCTGTTTTTTTAGGTCATAAGGAGGCAGATCTAAGGAGTCGAAGGATGTGAACATTTCAGCAGAAGCCCCAGGCGGAGCTTTGGCCTGAATCAACTGGAGGAATGCTGCTGAAGAGACAGACCATGGTGCATTCTGGGTGGTGTGGGACATCTGCCCACCACTGCACCGGACAGATGGGTTGAACTGTAGCAGGATGATCTGATGTGGTACCGAGCTGGGAGACAGGGGTCGACCTACCACCTCTAAATCATGTCCGCTTGAAATCTGGGGGAACTCATCTTCACTCCATGCTGCTGTTTACTTTTAAGTTATGAAGCATGGTGGTGAAACCTGAGTCTGCTGCCGTGCAAGTTACACAACAAGTTGTTGCTAGGTAACCACAGAGTGAGTGAGTGAGTCAGTTTATGCCACCAGCCTTGCTTAGCTCGCTGTAAGAGATTAAGAGGCTAAAGCCTTTCCTCTGCCTACATCTCCCACAATGCTGTGTGGTTCTGGATTAGAGTTCCATGAACATTCTATCAGATGTATTAATAATTGATATTGATCACGTGTCTATCACATTACATATTGTTATTGGTTTATTGTCTAACCATATTGCAGGTTTGTGTTGGTATCTGTAACGGCTTCACTGGTTTAAAATGGATTCCACACCTCAATGACATTTACTGCTGCTATGGGTTTATAGTTCATCCATTATCCAGGATAAAAAGCTTTATAACAGTACAAACCTAACCTGTACTCTTCCTTCCTACATTACCTATAGTGTTGGGTCTTTTAGATGCTAGATGGATGGGTGGGTTATTACTTGACTGGACAGTGGTGGCAGTGCAGGACACGGAGGACGTGGCGGCGGACGTGGCCATCACCACCCGGTTGGTCTCCATGAAGGCATCCTGGAAGTTGTAGAGACACTTCTTCTTGGCGCCGGTCTTCTTCGGCTCTTTGGCTTCTGAAGAGGAGCACGACGACGACGACGAAGATGACAACGACGAGGACAGCGACGACGACGAAGATGTGGGCAGGGGTGTGGGCAGCGGGGGATGCTCCCCCGGGAGGCCAATGGATGTTGGCGGGAGGGGCACGTCGGGGAGCGGAGGTCCCAGCATTTCACCTGTGGACCACCAGAGTCAGAGGTGATGACGTGTCGATAGATAAACTTGCAAGAAGCACTGCGGCTGGGCGGCTCACCTGGCAGACATTCGGGCAGCAGCACAGATGGGTTCCAGCTCTTCATCACAGCAGCATCCCACAGATTTTCAAACTTAAGAGAGAGGCACTGTAGTGAGGTATTCCAATCGCCCGCTCCGCCCGTCCCACCAAAGCAGTTCTGGTATACATGGTCCGGTAAGGATGTGCTGAATGCTGGCTGCTTGGCTGCTGAATGGTTGGATGTTGGGTTTGGGGGCAGAGGCTGAAGAAAGAAAATCGTTAGTTAGCAGGAACCTTAAACGTCAGGTTTGGATCGATTCGATATCAATATCCGTATCGGTGCAGATGTCGACAACAATTATAGATCAGTTATTGGTGACAATGTGCCACATCCTTAAGGGCAGATCTATTCAGTCTAAATCTATGCTTTATTATTTATTTTAAATTAAATGTAGAACTCCTAACCATTTGAAATCATGTTTATTTTTACATGTTTCCCTCTAGTTTTTTCTTTCACTTGTTTGATCGAAGTAGTCAACCTACTGTTTGTGTCAGTTTCAGTTTCTTTATCATTTATTTTACATTGGCTGTTGTACTCCAAATAGCACTAACTTCAATTAAAGTTGTGTTATCTTTACGTGTTGGACCAAGTTTGTGAAACTGTTGGTGTTAAATGAGCTGTACTGGCGCAGAGTTATCAAATGTATTTTTAATTCAGTACATTTATGTCTATTTAAAAAATATATGTATACGTATTTTAGGTCAATTCAGCTGTTATTTTGTATCAGATCGGAATAGATGGATACTACAATTCAGATATCTGAATCTCTAGAGAAAAAAAAGTGGGTCAGTGCATCCTGACTGACTAGCATGGCTCTCACATGCTTTGGGCTTAGATCAGATTCAGGCTGTCCCCTTGTGGCAGAGGACGAAGCTACACTGACAAAAAGTGAAACTGAAACATAATGAAGCTCAATGTTGTTCCTGGAACCTTAAAGAAATCCCCAGAGATAAGGAAACAAATTAAATTCCCCTTCAAGTCACTCATTGCCAAAATCAACGAAACATAATCAAGAAGAAAACGTAAGCTGAAAGAACGACACCTTCTCACCTTGTTGTGTGTGAGAGGTGGGCTGGGTGGGTAGAGTGTCGGGTGGAGAAGGGGCCGGGAAAAGTTCTGCAGGGGCAGGTGCCCGTGGATATGCGGGTACAAGTGGAGGGCAGGGTGAGCAGGGGGCGCCTTGGTGTCTGGAAAGAACTGGTGTCCGACAGTGGGAGGAGGCACGGCGTGGATCCGGCTGGGGGGCAGGCAGGCAGCGGGGCCCGGGGTCGAGGGGTTTGGGTCCTGGTTGCACACGTGGCACTCGCAGGCATGCTGGACCTGTTCTACCTAAACATGGTATTCAATATTGACAAATAACATTTACATCTGCAAAGTATTTTCCTTGTTTTGTTGCATAATCAAAATATATCAGATAATTTTCTAGGATTTTGCAAAACTGATGTTTGTTAGACAGATAATCCTCCTAAAAAGTGTTTTCTGCAAATGACACATAATAACCTTGATTACAACAGGACCATACAAAGGAAAGCTCCTAAAGTGTTGCGATACCTGCTGATGGCTGTAAGAGGGTGGCGGACTGGCCGTTTTTCCCAGGGAAAGTACTTCCTGCTTCCCCGGGGGCTCCCCACCAGCCTGAATATTAGCTTCCTCCTCATCACCCTCTGATGAGCTGCTGCTGCTGGTAATCTGAGGAGACTGAGGAAATTGTAGAACAAACTAAATTAGGAAAAGTAGTCGATGGGAAAGCAGTGGAGTTCCCTAACTACCAGTAAGCCATTATCAAATGAGAGTGGCTTTTCATCATCCAGAAACACAGTGGGGAAGTTCACTGCTGATCTCGGGTACTTTTGCTGAGCAGAAACTCACCCCTGGCTTCAGTGCTGCGTTGACGGCATCCCCGTTGATGTTACGGTGAAGTCCGTTGACAGCGGCCGACACCACACTGCTGTCCTCATAACTGTTCATGGGGTAGATGTTCCTGAACTTACTGGACACTGGAGGCACTTCATCATCATCACTAATACTACGGAGAGAGAAGAGAAGAAATCAGGCTGAGGTTTAATTGTGTTTAAATATAAATACATAAATAATACTGAATACTCCCTAATAGTGCTACACTTTATGAACACAAAGTATGAGCTATTTTATCAGAGTTGCAATAATTTCCATTTCGAAATGACAAACGAAGAAATTTGATTTGATTTTGTAGTTGTGTTGAGTAAGGTGATAAATGGATTTTATTGATTAATCAAATTTGGTGTTAATGAAGATTTCATTTTTGGAAAATCTGGATTTTTTTTTTCTGCCAATTCACTACATAAGTTTCCATAGCTTCTATTGATGTCAGCCCTGCCTGGGCCAACCAACTTGTTTCACTGCTTTGTATTTAGTTGGACTCTGACTTTGGGTCAATACCTGCTAAAGACCCCTGTGGGGGTTGAAGATAAATACACGGAAAAGACACACTTGACTATAAGCCACATGGTCCAAAAAGTGGGGAAAAAAGTAGCAGCTTATAGTCTGAAAAATACGTTAAATTCCATACTTTTGACAGCTGTGTGGCAGCAGTGTTATCAGAAGTGTAACTGGCTTGCTTACAAGGTGCTGACATCTCCTTCAGGTAAGATGAGCCTCGGATGCTGCTGAACTGTAATGGGAGAGCTGGAGTTTGAGCCAGAGGCTGAACTGCCCGAAGATAGGCTGGGGGGGTGCACCTCTGACAGGTAGTCCCGATGTGGCTCCCCCTGTAGGGGCAGCTTGATGTGGAGGTCCTCGGCGATAGATGAGTCCATGATTCCACACGTTAGGATGTGGGAGAGGCTGCAGTCATCACATGTGCACCTGTTGGAGAAGCAGCGGCGTTGCTTTTGGCTAACTAAGACTTCAAAAAAACTCCATTGCACATAAAGATAAAGGCATGTCAACAGCATTTCTCACAAGTTAGGAGAAATGTGTGAGATTCTGACACTTCACAAAACAGAGTTTGACTCTCTGATGAAACTCAAGCTTTTTCTTATTAATGCCAAGCAAAGAAAAACAAATGGCATGAGGGAGGAGTTCTAAAGGATATAAAGGAAGGCAATATGGACTTAGAACTTTATTGTGATATGTTGTGGTACTTGTGTGATAACAATATAAATGATAATAAAAAGTATTACTTATTTTCTTGGGTAACTATGGTTACTATATGATACAGCATTCATAGCACCAACACAAATATTGTTCTTGAAAAATATTCCCATTTGAAATAGGCTTCTTCAGGATGGCACTTAAAGTGTGATCACATTTTAAAATGTACTGATATTTATTGATGCTCTTGTAGAAAATAGCAGAAATATCATTTCCGATAATACTATGAGGTTTTTTTTTTTATTTACCATCAATGACAAATTGTGAGAACAATAAATAAAAATTCTTATGAAAAGATTTTTTTTATGATGAATGAGATATTTTGACCTATATTGCCTAATACTCCTGTAATAGCCTAATAATGCTACTACAGTTTTATTGTTCAATATATATCAATATCAGTTTGAATAGCTCAAAATTTTGCTTCTTATTATTTATTACTGCAGAACCAACTCTGTGAATTGTAGTTGCTGGACTCCATCCAACAGGATGGACAGATTCTTCAAAAAAGCTATTAAATCTATGTTTCCAGACTTTACAAACCAGAGTTGAAAAATGTCAAAAAATGTAGAAATGAAGATGGATTCAGGTATTTTGACCTATATTGTACAGCAGACAGTAGATGATGGAAACCTACCGTCTTCTATAGTTACAGTTTGGACAATCTGGAATACTAAGACGAGATGAGAGCATCCTCATAGTGTCTGTGAAGTTGTTTTCTCCAGTGGAGGGCTTTTTAATGTTGGGTTGCTAAAATGACAAAAATTATATATATAATCGCACTAAAACATAGGTTTACCTCCAACATGACAGGCTCAAACATAAATAACCTACCTGTTCTTCAATGAACCTCCTCTGCTTGAAGAACTCCCAGTCCTCCTTTAGCATTCGCTGCTTTGTCTTTAAAGTCTTGATGGAATCAGAAATGAAATCAACAACAGTAGTTAAGGATTAATAAAGATGGACAAAAAAATCTTATCAGTGAATTTTAAACTTACATTTTTGCTAATCAAGGACTTGTGTGGCTCTGTTTTTTGGTTGGTCAGACTCTGGCCTTCCACCTTAAAAAGTAACTATAAACAAAAGACACAAACACTCAGAATCCTCCTTCGCTACAGTCGTAGAAGCCCATCTTGTGGTTGATCTGTTGGGTGACTACCTGCTCATCGACATAATCATCAATTCTCTTCTCACACTCCTGCCACTCAGCAGCCACAGAAGCCAACTCCTGCTGCAGCTCCTGGTATCTTTCCAGCAGCGTCCGATACGTGTCTTCATTATACGAATCATGAGAGGCTGTACCATGTCTGGAAAAAACAAAGTTTGACTTAAAACGGCACTTAGTAACATATCAAAGACGTTGCATATTTGAAAAGAAACTGGTCATTGTCATTATAGTCAGAGTCACTGTGTGTATTTTCAGACAGAAACAGTATCTCACTTCAGCTGTGCAATAAGTGCTGGTAAACTGTTTTGCAGGATCGGTTCAGAGAAAACCAGGTTCTCAAAAAGGTGCTTGTTGTGCAGCTCCCACGTCACCTGAAACTTCTGCAGGTGCTCATTCTCCTGGAACCAAAGGGAGAGGAACGAAGCGTGAGGAGGGAGAGGAGCTGCCAGCAGCCGGCACTGTGAGCAGGCCGAGGAAAACTAACCAGAGTGAGGAGGAAGCTGCTGATGGTGCGTGCAGCCTGACACAGGGCGTTGTACTCCTCCAGCAGCAGAGAGACGAACTGGTGGGCCTGAGGAGGACCCTGAGCTGCGGCCACAGCGCCCCCTGGAGGCCCTGCAGGCTTGGAGCCTCCAGAGAGGTGCTTCAGAAGACGCACCTTCATTTCTAAGACGTATTCTCGGGCCTGCTGCTCCAACCGCTGGTAGAGCTGATATGGATCTTTCACACAGAGCCTGCAGCAGCAGAACATTAAAAATGCTTAGAAATTAATACCATGTTGGATTTGTTTTTTATTCTAACTCTTCCTAAAATGTGATAAAATAAAAAATTAATAAAGTTACACCCAAAATTATTTGTAACTCTGGCAGATATAAATTTAAAGTAATTTGATCAAGAGGTAGAAATGTTTAGTTTGAGATGTTTAGAGGATCTTTATATCTTAAAATGTTAGCGCTTTTAATTCAGATGTTATTTTATTTCATTTATTTTGAAATACTTCAGCTCATAGGAACTATTTCAACAATTTCTAGTCATTCAGACCCAAATAAAGAATTTAATGTTTGGCAGATAGATAATTATTCTTTTCCAAGTATATATTGCCTTTGTTAGCGATTTTAAAGAGTAGTAAACCTGTAAATCTATGATGTTTAAAAAATATGATGGGGTCAAAAACTTGGATGCACAAAAGAAATAAAGTTAGACGCACCAGTGCTTCGAGAGTAGAGATTTTAATCTGCTTATTTTTTTTTTTAATTATATTTTCAATAATTCTTTGATTCTTTTTCCTTATCGAATTGTTTTAAATAAATTTTGTATTTGTTTATACTGACTTTTTCTCTCATCAGTCACATCATTTAAACAGACTAACGACTGTTTGGATAGAAAAATTGGTTTCTGAATTAAAAACGGTTTTCTGACTGAAAATCGTTTCTGATTCAAATCATGACTAAAAAACGGAGTTGAATGGAATCATTAGGCACCGAATCTCTAGTCTAGAACCCTGTAATACATTGAGAAGCTTCCACTGTTCAACAAAGGCTTTTACAACTCGAGAGAGACCTCTAGTGGACAAACACAGACACTGTTCTTATGCTACCTGTCCACCAGCTCCTTCATGCCTTCCTTATCCCTCTCCAGGGGCTGGTCCTGGTCGTCTGCTAGTGGGGTTCCCGTCTGCCGGTAGATGCAGCGCACCAGGTAGCGAACCTCCGACCAGTGGTTCTGCAGCTGCTGCGACTCCCGCTCCGACTCAGCAGAGATCTCCCTGTCATTTGAACAGGCTCAGGTAAAGACCCATGACCGGGCTCGCTGTATGGAGAACTCGTTGGCCTCGGCCCGCTCGGTGTGAACGTACCGTCTCTCGTTGCAGGTTTCACAGCTGCACACGGTGTCAGGAGGCATTGGAGCAGCGAGGTCCGGCGCAGGGAGCATGGGTAGTGTAGGCGCAGCAGTACTGAGCCTGTCTGCTGTAGCTGCAGTCTGAGCCAGGGTTCCATTACTCACAGGCATGTGCAGCAGAAAGTCCTGACTCTGTTGGACACAAGTTCACATCACAAGAAGCTGTAAAATTTACATTTTTTTTGTAGCTTTGTTAGGAAGAATTGCATTTAAATCCATTGTTTAAGAGAAGCTAAATCCATATTAGTTTTTATTTTCCATAGCAAACAGTCCTCTAACCCTGACTAAAGGGCAGATTCAATGTTGATCATCATTGCTGTTGATCATTCTAGATTTTTTTACAGCAGCAGCTGCAAATGAGGACAGCTGCATCATTTTTCCTGTTCTGCCTGAGAACCAGACCTAAGAATGTTTAACAACAGCTGTGCAAGTCAAGCTGAACATAAACCAGCGTGCAGGAGTATTTTCTCCTTACACATTTCTCCTAATTTTGTAGTTTGGGATCTCCTGGACTAAGTCAGACAGAGAGAGATTAATTTATTTTTCATCTATTCTTTAATTTCTTTAGACTGAGGCATGTTGTGTTGCTCTTCAACCAACCATGGATTCTAATAACTTTTCAAATAGGGCTGGTTTGGTTTCGTTTACTTTTTCTCTTCAATAAATGAAATTATTTTAAAAATAAGTTTGTATTTACTCAAGTCTTTGTCATAAAAAAAATTATTTGATGATTTGAAGGAATATAAGGGAGAGAAACACTTATATAACCATGTGGATTACTTCTGAAGACTTAACAATTCAGCTGTCCTTAAAGTGTACTCACCCCTAACGACTGCTCCAGAGTCGTACGTCTGTCTTCCTTCTCCACCGTGCGTCTGCAGTCGGAGCAGACCCACAGAGGGAGCTGGAGGGCACTGGAGGCGTTGGTTGGCTGCGCCATGCCGTTCTGACCAGCAATGCCGGCCTCCGAAGGCACAACGCTGTCTTTACGCTCACATCGGCACAGGAGGCAGCGATCTCCAGCCGTATACGGCGCCCGCTGGTTAAGGCCGAATGTGAACGGCGTCTGAAGGGGAGAAGAGACAAAAACAGGTGAAAAGAAAACTACAGACTCATTTTGAATAAACGACTATTTGGTCAGCTTATTATGAACAGGTATGGGTCGAAGACCATTTTGGTCATTTCTTAATTTCTTTTTACACAACCACCAAACAAAAAAAAAGGTTGCCATAAACACATGGTAGACTGCCTTCCAGCATAACTTCATCCATGTCCTGACCAGATATCCTCTGTAACATACTTTATTTTATTGCATTTTGGGTGCAAAAATAAAACATGAAAAAAAAAGAAAACACTATTTATCAAAAGGAAAAAGAAAAAATGCTCAATGAAAAGTTTATGAAATTTATAAGTGGACAGGTAGGAAATATGAACTAAACGGTACAATGAAGCATACCAATATTACAAACATATAAAACATTATTTTGTAATTGATATATATTTTTAGTTGGTCAGCAGCAACTCTTACCACTGGCTTCACCAGTGTCTCATCCTTACAGCTCAAAATCACACAAGTGTGGCCAAACGGGTCAAGTTAAAATTTAATCCGATCATATACAAACATGTCATACTGTATGTAGAGGTGGGCGGTATTTTGTGGTACTGTAGTAATAATGACAAAAGTGACAATATGAACTATTTATTTCTTGATTTTTAGGCCTTACATCAATCATATCCACACAAACACACACTGCTCTTTAGACACATTCACATCTGTAAAACGCTTTTTTAGGACACCAGTCACATAAAGAAGTGTGATTTACCTCACACAGCTGTATCTAATGCCTTAATGTTGACCTCTGTTGCTTTAAGAACCTCCTTCCCTTTACGACACTCAGTCTTCAGTACGTCATCACAACAATGCTTCTTCATGATGCTATTTATGACTGATCTTAGGGCCATTGTACTGAGAAGTAGTTTGTATGATAAATTCAGCAGACCAGCAGTTCCACCAGGTGTTTGCTAATTGCTGCCACTAGTCTGAAGGAGCTGTGTGGAGGAAGCAAAGGTCCTGTGGGGAGGGAGCTCGGTTGGACTGCAGTTCCAAGGCAGAGCTTTGGGTAAACAAGTGTTCAGGCACCTCTGAACGGTTCCAACAGGAGACTCAATAATTCTCCAAACACAGATGAATGAGTCACAGCAACACTCCAGGTATGTTTTTGATGATGGAGTGACACAACATAACATAGAGCTAAAAGAGCTGATTTTGCATTATTCTCCCCCCACCTCTTCCTTTACACTGTGAATGATTTTCATAACAACTTTGGTCCAGCAGAGATTTCCTCTAATCCTTATTAACAGCAGGTGTGCAGCACATAGAGATGAATAACGCAGCACTTGAGCAAACAGATATGCAGTTAATCACAGTAATCACTGCAAGTTGCTTCACATCATTTGATTAGTAACAGTGGTATATTTACTTAATATTAAGTGATGCAATTTTACCTGAAGAACTCCGGAGAACTCTGCGTTCACCGGTCCTTCTGCAAACTGAGGAGTAACGCTGCTGTTCATTTTGACCTAAAGTTAAACAAGCAGACATCATTTACAGCCTAGCACTTTCTAATAACATTCAGGAAATCGTGTACAAGCAGAGAAGATTAGATTGATTTGGTTGTTGGCACTGATCGTTTGACTTTAGCTCTGTTGTTGTTTAGCCATGTTAGGCTATATATTGTTGCAATTATATTGCAACAATATAATTACTGTATGCTAAAATTACTATGAGATTTCAGACTCCTCTACAAAATATTACCCAAATTTCTATAAAAATATACATGTATTTACAAACTGAAACAGAGAACATCCAGCTGTATGGTTTAGGCTTTTTTACAAATATTCCTTGTAGCTGATTAATAATCACCTACCAAATCACCAGATTAACTCATCAATATAAATCAAGTCCCGTTCGCTGACATTTGAATCAAGAAATCAGATTTAACTAAGAATTACAGAACAAAACACTGTTACATTTGGATATCATAATCAAAAATGCATCATCATGATAAAAAACACAAAGAGAAATGCTCATTTTTATTTTCAGTTTTGTTGTTTTTGGGGGGTTTTTTTAAATAGCACTTGACAAATGTGGAGAGCTAAAGTGCTTCTTTAAGCTGAACACACCATGTTTTCACCTGGCTCTACTCCAACTTAGGCTGCTGATGAGCTTCAAGCCACCTTTCAGCTCATCAATGTAAGGCTTCAAATTGGTTCTACAAGTTGATAACACTGCAACAATATTTTTCTCCCACAAATCATCCCCATTTCTTACATAATGTTGGTATTTAAACCTCTGGGCAGACCTTATCAAGAGAGTACCATCCAATAACTCTGAATAAAAGCTTTTCTTTCATTTGCATATTGAGCTTTTAGTAAAAATGCCAAAGGCTGGTCTGCACTTTTATTCGTGGAATAAGGCCAGTCTTAATTCTGAAGTCTGGAAAAAATATGTTGTTTTTAAAAATAGGAAATTGTATTTTATATATATATATATATATATATATATATATATATATGTATATGCATGAACTCTTGCATGGTACTGGCTTCATTCTCAGAGAAATCATTTCAGCATCCAGTAATATTTTGAACATATTATCAACATGTTTAAATAAAACCATGACGATACTGATAAATGTAATAAATTTGTGCTGAATAACCATGGAACTAATGTTCCTATATCTCCAATATGTTTTAATATTTTTAAAATATTAAAACATATTGGTCATAGCCTCTACCTGTGTGGAAGAGCTGTCAGCTCTTTTTAAGTCTTCAGTGACTACAGCTGCCATTGTAAAGGGTGGAGTTTGCACCTACATGATGTTGACTCAGACTTGTTTTATTCTGTTTATCCATTTTAATGTTAATGTCCATCCTCCAGTCTGTAACGTTGTGACATCTTGGTGAGACATTCTTTGAAAAGACATTAATCTTGAGTGACTTCCCTTTCAAATAAAGGTTAAATTGATTAAATAAACAAAACTCTGGTTACATTTATGACTTGTAGAACAACTCAAGCTAACAAAGTAACTTTTGAGCTGGCATCTATAAATTGGTCTGTTGCACAGCTCTTAGAAAACAGTGAGTCACATAAGGTTTCTTATTGTTTACCTGCGGTACACGACTCGTCTGCGCTTATTTAGAAATCTAGGGCTGGATAAGTAGTTATTCTGTTTCCTTAGGCGAGTTTAAAGACAGACCTTTATACATGAAATAAAGCTGTAAAACAAATCGAAAGCTGAAGGGAACCTGAGTTTTTAGTGATGTTAGCATTAGCTAGCATACATGGCTAGCCGAAACCCAGCACACAGTAAGTCACCTGCGTTGAACCTAAAGATACTCCCTAATAATCTTAGCTAATCTCTACCAGCGCGGACTGTATTGGCTCAAATGAAGGTATTCTGACGTCCAGGTTGTTGTCGTTGCAGCCAGGATCTCTTAACTTTAGCTAGGGTAAGAAGTCAGTTTTCGGCCAACAAAGTTAGCATAATGTTTACGGGGATATGTCATAAGAAAATAAAACATGTGAAGATGTTAGACATCAATGTTTAGAAATGATTACTGTTTGCCCAAACATAACGGGCATATTAACATGTAATTAAGCCAATTAATTACTAGCTACTCTGCATTTGTTACTTAGCTGGCAGCCTTCCTAAGGATCGGTTCTGGGCCCAAATCAGATGTGTCGTTGATAACACTGTTAGCTACTCACTGCCGTTTTGACATTTATGGAGATACATTCTTACCTCTCCGTTCATGCCCGCGCTGGACCCGATATTCCCGTTGCCTGTACTCCCAGATGTGAGGAAGCTGACGACTGAGGCAGGTGTTGCTGTTCCCGCACAGCCTAGGGCCGGTGGAGCCCCGGCCTTGCCACTGCTGCTGTTGCAGACAGCACTGCAGCTACTGCCACCGCCCCGCTTGTTCTTCCTGCGTTTAGCCCCCCGTTTAGCATCGGTTGGACTCATTTTCTTCAACAGAAGAGGCAAGACAAGTTGCCGTCCGGACTTGGCAGCGTCTCGAGCGGAATGTCTGGAAAAATCACACGGTTATAAAGTCGGGAAAGCGATTAGGAGAGTCCCAAAACGACAGAAACCGAGTCCCAACAAAGTGCAAGCCGACTGCATAGATTCCAATATGGCCTCTAGCCGGATTGCTTCAACCAGACTCAGCTTGCGTCAAGACGCAACGTGCGTGACCCACCCAAACAGTTGTGGGAAATTGAGTTCATATTTACGAGAAGGAAATCTGATATGAAAACTCCACCAGAAAAACAAAACAGCTTAAAGTTTCTCATGTTTTATGTATAATTGAGGGACTATTTTTATTTTAGAAAAAAAAATGTTTACAGCCCAAACTCAACATATTTTAAGTTTTCTAAACAAACTGCAAACAAAAAGCAGCAGTAATGTTTGTTGACGTGTTCATTGATAAATTGAACAAATGGTATAAACGAGGTATCTATTTTGCAGGTAAAAATTCATTTAAATTCATTAAACACAATTATCAATGTTTGCTAATGTGAGTTCCTTGATGCTCTGTATGACAGCAGCTCTGATTTGTGGAAGTCGTTACACTACATACAAGTGATAAACAAGTGATAAACATACATTTAAATAATAAGATGCCCACATAACACAAGCAGAAGGATCCAATTAAAATATAAACAAGAAAAATATAAAAAACAAATGATAATGTTAGCTGCCTCAAACATTGAGAGTGTTCCAGCATTTCTTGTATCTTGTTAACACTTTCATCATCGTGCTATGGGGTTTGTTTTCTCTAGATGGTACATAGTATTTTTTTCCAAGGTAGGTAGAATTATGAACAGTTCTAAACATCAGTCTATTTTAACCCAAGACCTTCAGGAAACCTGTATTATTTTTGGTTCACGGTGACTCCAAGAATAGATTCAAATCAATCAATCAGTGGTTTCACTGGAAAATTATAGTTCTGAAAAAAACTAACCAGAAGATTTGAAGAGGTGTACTGAAGAGGATTTGTCATTGTAAATCTCAATAGGGTGGAAAGACTTTGGTGGCTGTGTCTTCAACCAGCTCATCAGTTTCTTAGTTTTTACATTTGTTCTACTACAACCTCACAGACTTGGCCTCTACAAGTCTGTTTTTCAACCTAATCACTACATTAAGATCAGCAGCATGTATCAGAACAGCCAAGTAGAAGCAAAGATTTAAATTCAATAGATCCATAAGTAGGCCTGAAAATCAGTGCTAACTGAGCTTGAGAATTTTTGCAAAGAAGAATCTGTAACAATTTCAAACTCTACGCAGTGCATACTTTTTATTGATTGCATAAAAAGTATGCACTGAAAACCATGCATCTTTTATTTTCCAGTTAACAATTAGGCCCTACTTTGTGTTAGTCTTCTTGCACATAAACTCTAAATAAAATACATTCAAGTTTGTGGTAGCAACATAACACAATGCAAACAAAGGTGGCTGTACAGTACTGTAGCGCTTGTAGAATATCAAACTCAGTAAAAAAATAATCAAGTATTAAATATAGATGCTCCAGGTTTGAGGATACCTTAATATCTAATAAAGTTTTTTTTATTTATTTTTATTTTATTTTTTATTTTTTACGATGAATCCTAAAAGTTAGAGTTGCCAAACTGCAAAGAGCATCTTCCAACAACAGGGGGAGCCCGCGTACTCCAAAGCTTTTGTTCTGATAATAATTGCTTTGTGGGCCTGCATTGGTATTGGAGTCTTTCCGGGGTCTAGACATCACGTCTGCCTTGGTTGAGCGTTAGGAACCACTGATGTCCAGGTTGTAGTTTATCCGCAGAGTTTGCACTAACAGACTGCGCAACAGCTTTCAAGAGAACCTCTGGTTTTGGCGGAGAGGCAGCGCTTAAAGGTTTCAGAAAACTGCTGCGACGGCTAGCAGTTCACAGCTAATAGTTAGCCGCATCCGCAGAGAGGTAATGTATCCAACTTTACAGCTTTTGTCATTCCCCTGCTGGGCTTGGTATGCGTTCCAATCAAAAATATGTTGCAGTTTATAGCCAGGTAACATGCTTTAGTAGAAGTTTTTCTTGAGTTTGTTGTCTGCTATTTAGCCGCATTACCCCAGGCTAGAAGCGTCAACGTCTGCTAGTGAGACGTTCACCTTAATTCAGATGTGTGGGCATGAGTGTTTTACTCTGGCACGTTTCTTATATATTAGTCTATTGCTTTTAAAATATGTTATGTCTGGCTAAGTTGAGGCGATCGCTTGAACCAAAACAGGACGATTCTGGATTGAAATAGTGCTAATAGTACTTTTTGATGCCTTCGTCACGTGACTGTGCTGCAACAGGCGATCCACCCAACCTTGCCAACTATTGAGTCTCTTCCGGGGTGTGAGGTTGTTACACAGAGGAACAACTCTAACTTTTGTGCCACTATTTGTTAATTGCAATTTAAATATACGTGATGGGTTGCTAAAATACCTTTGTGTGTGCAAAGGTTTTCAGGAAGTATTCTAAAGGGAGTGTGTTGTAGATTGCATTTCACAGATGTTAATATATATGCAGAGTTTACAGATTTAAGGGGGAAAAATAATAAAATAAAGGTGCAGATTTGAAGATAAGGCAGCTGACTACGGATTTCTGTAAGGTCACAGTTGATGAGACCTGCTGTAACAGAAGGTAAATGTCCTGATTGTTTTAAGAGCAGTTTGTGAGCGTAGGAACACCTGACTGTGCCTTTGAGCATATCTGCTCTACATGGAGGCTCAGCTGGCCTTGTTGGCTACACTTATCTTTTATTTGCATAGCATAACTGTTGGATTCCACCTCTTGTAGAGTTTAGTGTTCACACAAGAAAGTTATTTAAAAAAATTAGAAGAGTGTTTTGTGCATTTGTTTTTAGCCCCCTGAGTAAATTTACAGAACTACATTCCACCTTAAGCTGAGGCTGATTGGGTGGAGAGAGTCTGTGAACAGAAGTTTTCAGTCTAACCACAGATCATTGTGGATTTGAGAAAGAGCTGGCCCTCTCTTCTTAAAGGCTTCTCAGACAGCTTCCATCTTGGCCTGATAATTTCTGCCAAGCAGCCCTAACTTGAGAGGATTGAGTCAGCTGCTGGGAGTGAGGAGATGACACAACTTCATGTTTTAGTAAGGAGTTGTGGTTGACCCCGTTGCTAGGGGTGGTCCTGTGTTCTAGAGACAATGATTGGTTGATGCACAAAATAAAATAAGTCACTAAAACAAAACCCCACCCATGTATTCAGCTGATAGAAATTGACCAATCACTGTAACCAGACTGGATTAAGAATAGTGTCATAATCATGAAACTATGCAAAATTGATGATTTGCTAGAGCATCAACATGTTGATTGTGCCTTATTTATATTTATATTCCTTATTTATATTCACCATGCTGGTCATTTTACTTTGTCATCAATTTGATATCAATCTGGATGCTCAGATTGTATGAACTTGTTTTATTTGATCAAATGACCAACATAAAATGGAGAATTAAACAGTCAAACAGGATCGCATCGCATCGCATTACGCGTCCACTCAGCCGTAGAAGACCGTCTCACTCACTATATGTTCGTTGATATTCTTTCATTGAAGAAAAAGCCTGGCAGCTCAGTTAACTTAATACTGGCAATTTAAGTTACAGAATTTTATGCACAAACCTGTTTTGTTTAACTTTAAACTGATGGAATTTGATAGAGTATGGAACTTTGTAGAATTATTTTAAATAAAAGTTATCTTTGGTTACACTGTCACATAATTTGAACAGAATCTCTAGTCTGATTAGAAAAATGGTTTCTTAATTGAAAATTGTTGAACCCTAAAAATTGGAATTGAATTGCTGGACACTGAAAGATTTGCATCTGTCCTGCAGATCACTAACTTGTTAAGTTGTGTGTGCGCGCGTCTGCGTATGACAGCAGGGAACGCATTAAGCATGCAGGACAGTGAGTCCTGAGAACCTCTGGGTTACATCCAGGACAGACTCTCCCTCCTGAGCTGAGCCACTGCAGCCTCTATGAATAATGCTGTTGTTGACATCTGAAAACAATTTGCTCATTGGGTTTCTTTTGGGGTGTCAGAGTAAAATGGGTTGAATCCACAAGTTTTTCAGTTTTTTTTATTCATGACTATTTTAAAGCAAAGTGTCATTTTTGTTTCTCTTTCCTGTAGTTGTAACACAAACGTGGAAACACCGAAGGGTTAGGAATACTTTGTAAAGGCACCTTTTATTGCTACTCAACAGTATTGCTAACTCGAGATGTAGTGATCCAATATTAATATGTGTGTCTGTCCCAATATTGAAAATTAATTTCCATGGCGTATCATCAGTGTCGATGTGCCAGATTTACTTTATGTTCTATTTAGAATTCCTGTTTGCACTTGCAGAACCATTTGAAAGGTTTGTTGCAGTTTGTTTTTGCATATTTCACCAAGCAACCTAAAGTTTTTCTGCTTTTATTTTTTTATTAATTTTACATTGACTGTTATCCTCCTAATTGCACTGACTGAACAAATTAAAGTTGTGTTGCTCTTACATGTTTGACCAAGCTTTAAATTAGCTGTACTGGTGCAAAGGTATTAAATAAACTTGTATTTAGGTACTTTTTGTATTTTTTAAAAAAGAAAAATTTTAAGTCAGTTCATCTCTGTTTTTCTGTATCGGATCGGCATCAGCCGATACTAAACCTCAGATATCTGGATTGGTGTTGAAAGTGGAAAAAACAGTGGATCCCTTTGCTAACTGGTGTTCTGTCGTACGTTTGCAGTGCAGCAGCTCTGTGGACGTCTTCATCCTGTCCTGTGTGTCTTGTTTCAGGGATGTCTGAAGTTAGTCTTGAGGCTGAGTTGGGGAAGACCTCAGCAGAGGACCCTCAGAGGGATTGTGAGGAGGCTGATGAAACAGAGGAGAGTTTGAGTGAGGATGTGCCTCCAGAGGTAGCACCCAGTAGCAGGGGAGGAGAGGACAAAGCTGACGTACTGTATGAGATCGATATTAACAGTGATGAAGAAACCGCAGAGTCGTCCAGTAAGGATGCTCAGGGGCAGGATGAGGGTCCTCTGTCGGGAACCGTGGCGTCCAGCAGGGTGGGCAGCGGGGCTAAACTCCAGGCTGAATCGGCCGGAACACCAAAGGGAAACAGAGATTCTCTCTCTGAAACAAAGGTGAT